TAAAATATTTAACCAATATTTAAAAAAAAATGATGAAATTGAAACGGCTAGAAAACAATCCTGAAGTATGTTAAATAATAATAGTTTGAGGTGAAACGAATCTTATAATAATTTTTAGACGAAATTTCTTCAAAAATCCTTACTTTTTTAAAGAAAAAAATATTACCAAATTAATTTTTTTAATTAGTTTAATACCACGTGGATCTTCAAGAAAATATTAATTAAAGTAAGGTCACATACATTAATGCTATTTTTCTGTTCTTTTTATTTTTTGTCAATCAGCTTATTAACACAACCAAATTTGTGTTAATAAGCTGAATTTGTGTTATTAACACAAACCAAGTCCGTTAAAATTAATTGTAAACATTTCATCGGTAGAATGTTAAAAAAGGATTTGAAAATTATTTTAGAAATCTTATTTTTTTTCTTGAATATTCTGGAGAAAGGCTCATTAGTGTACACCATACTTCTAAGTCTGGAAATGAGCACGGATATGAAAGTGGGCTTAAGCGTGAAGGCATAATTATCGCTCAAGTGAAGCTAACCTCATTTGATTTTTAGTTTATAATTAATTAGGTTCATTTTTCTTAAACATTATGTTTTTTTTGCACTATAATGGGATCAATATATACATAAATATTTAAACATAAATGTTGTGTTTCCAGCTACGTGCAAAAACACCTCTGAGCACGCATCAGACCATCACCTAACAATGAATATAATGTGGCTTCTTTCATTTCATTTTCATAATTAAAACTAGATTATTTTTAATATCTCTCCGGTTATTGTTTATTGGAAATGAATAATATTTGAACCTCCAGCGGGTTTTATTACTAAAACTTACGACTGAACCGGCTATTACTCAGGTGTTAGTTTCTATATTACCAAGATTATTTTCTAGACTAGTGTAAAAAAAAAACAAAAAAACAATGATGTCTTATCACTCTCGCTGAAAATCTTATGCGGATATCAGTGGGTGCACATGTCAAATTTCTGTGTCACATGAAATTCAAAACAGGCTCATTCCAGCTGTCGTGGGTTAGTCTCCAGTGTTATTTGATTGTTTTAAGACTGGATACTTTATACATTTTTAATAATTACGCTATTAATTTTTCACAGAAATTTAATATTAAATAATTATTTGAATCAAATTTAGAGTGTAAAATTCTATGATAAAGTCAGTTGTGATATACGGCTCTGAAACTTTGTCACTAACCAGTACCAGTGAAAGAAGATTTAAAGATTAAGGAGGAAAATCCTAGATAGCATAACTAGAGTGTTCTGGGATCAAAGTACTAAAACATGGTGAAGGACCATTAAAGAAACGCTTATGGAAACTGGTCAATCAATATCTCATGATATATCGGCAAAGAGATTAAGATAGGCATGTAGATTTGAGCAATCGTTCAGGAAGCCTCTAAAAAATTACTGTCTCTATGATAGCTAGAAAGGAATAGCCTAAGATCTACAAAGTTTGTGAAACCAACATGAAAAAAAAAAGTTGACATAATGATCGTGAAAACAGTATTAATCAAACAAGAGAGGACTAATAAGGAAAAAATAAAATAGATCCTTTAATCTTTATGAAGAACAAGAGTTTTCTTTTTCTTTAATGTCAATGTTAAACAAGGAAGGCACAGAAAGCGTAATAAAAAAAAAATGAGTACGATTACAGAATATCCGACAAAACGTAAGAATTATGAATGGCGATTGTAGGAATCGCAGCATCTAATTTGGTATCTTGCACGACAATCGTGTGATCGATTAAATTCAGAAGCAGTTCTAATTACGCAGTTGACATCCAAATCGAATTATTAATCTGCTAATCAAATAGTGAAGAAGCTCCAAATTTATTTCTTCGATCCATTAATTTTGTCCCCCATTTTTGTAAAATATTTTACAATACCATTAGAAAATCCAGGGCCTGGCGCGAATCCACTTCAAAAATAAGATTTTTTTTTTACTTTAATTATGATATTTACAACTGTATTAGTATGAATACATTAAGTAAATGTGTACATAGGAATATTATCACATGAAACACGCTTGTTGAGAAACTACCCATTGGTAGCACTCTAATAATTTGTCTACATAAGGAGATCACGAAGCGATCTCCTTTTCAGACGCCTCGGAGGGTTATCAGGAATCGAAGAGGAAGCAAGGCTAGAAACAAGAGGATTAGGATGGTTATGAAGTTTATTATGGAAGGATAGGTATCTGGATTTGGCCAAATCGGAAACATATGGAACATTGAGTTCTTTATGGATTATTTTATTTGTGACAAAGTAAGGAGCATTGAGGATTTTACGAAGGATTTTGGATTGTAAAGATTGGATACGAGAGGAATTTGATGGTTTAGTGGAGCCCCACAGCTCAACTCCATAAGTCCAAAGAGGAAAATGAGATTTAAAACACATAAACACTCAGCTAATTGTGAAATAGACAAAGAATAACCCAAGTCAGAAGACTAAAACTATTTTCGAATATCTAACTATTATCACGAGACCGCAAATAGATCTCCAATGGACAATACTTTGAGAAAAATATCTTCGCTCTTCCTCGAGTTATTATCTTAAGAGGAAACTTAGCATAAGACTTCATAAATCATTTCAAGTCAAATTTAAACATAATTCAACTTCATTGTGAGCAATGTTGTAACCTTTATAAATATTTATTCTCAGTGATTATCGCTTTTTTTAGAATGATGCATACTATTTATTACCTTTGTGATGTTGCTTCTCACTACTTTCTTTTGGAGCTCTACGGAAAAATTTAGAAAACGAAACCTGAAACGATAGAACTGGTTTGAGATCAATGTATAGGAGTATAAAGCCGGATCATAAAAACATTTTGAGTTGAAAGCGGATTGAAGAAGAAGATGCTAACCACAAGAGCAAAGGGTGAAAGCTAAGCATTGCAACTATTTCATATGTTACGTGTGCATTTCTTTCGGGAATCGAGGCTTCCTAGTTGATCGTGGTAACTCCATTCTAATTAATGGAAAGTGGCTCGGGTTGGGATTTCGGTTTACTTTCTACTAGTAGCCGTTATTTTACTAGCTGTGCTATATTTTCAGATTTTAACGTTGTTTATTATTATTATAGTTAACTATACCATAATCTATTTTTTAAGTATTGCCCTTAATTAAAAATATTTTGGGCGTTATGGCCTGGTTACACAGCGCGAGCTAGCATCCTAGTCAGTTACTGCAGTGCATCTATTCGCACCATGTGACCGCATCATAAGGGTAACTAACTACCATGTGCGAGTAGGTCAGTAACAAGCATCCGAGTTGAGGTTTTTGTTTTGACTTGCCACTCGCCTTCCCCCGAATGCAGCCACTAGCCTGCGACTCGTACATCAACGTGCGTGGTATTGCTAAATGACAGTAGCTCGTACGCCTTGGATGCTACTAGGAGACCTATACTAGGCAAGGAAAGTATTGCGATCAGGTCAAATTTCCGATATACGGTTTTTGACGTATCTATACGTTTCAGAGCCCCCAGAGTTCGAAAAACACATTTTTAGACATTGGTCTGTCTGTCTGCACCAAGATTTTCTCGGGAACTAGGGAACCGATTTTGTTGCTTCTTTTTTATTTTGTAGGGTTTTGACTAGTGATGCCGTTGACACAAATTGGATGCTCCATGCGCAATAGCTGCTACGCAATAAATGAAAAACATGTTTTTCTATATATTGTAGCGAGAAAACGGCTATAACGATTTTATTTAAACTTTTCTATACTTTTATAATAATTGTCCTTTCAATTTTCGTATTTGGACTAAATTTTCGAGAAAATTCAGGAAAAAAAGTTATAAAGAAAAGAAAAATATTTTTGGACCTAGCTCGCTAAGTATATATTATATGGTAAAATTTATAATAAAACTTTTAAAAGGTAATTAAATTACCAACAAAAAAAAAAAAAAAAAAAAAACCATCGGAATCAAACCAGTATTAGCGATAAATACAGCGTATTCTATTTTCTACTCATGTTTTAATTTATTACTTTCCTACCTATACTAGGTAAGGAAAGTATTGCAATCAGGTCAAATTTCCGATATGCGGTTTTTGACGGATCTGTACGTTTCAGAGCCCCCTGATGGAAAAACTCTTTGATAAATTTTCAGGAAATTAAATCTAATTCAATTTTTTTTTGTTTCTTGATGGACACATGTAAAGATATAAAAACTTTTCTAAAATAGGTAGGAAAGTCGTGTGAAAATTTTTGTGTTGTAGTGATTGTAAAAGGGATGGCGGATAGATAGATTGCGGACCACTCTCATTGCTGCTATACATTCTGGGAGATCTTCATTATATATTTCTTTAAACATTGTATCCGTTGCTTATTTCCTTTGCATTAAATTCCTGACCCAAATTGTTATATTTTTCTTCTCTTTTTTCTAGCACTTCCAGTAGTTTTTTGAAAACGCTTTCATAACAGTATGAAAAGTGTACTTTGCGGCAACATTGCACACTGGCGTCATAATAGCTACACAGCACAACATTTGCGAAGAACTGATGCGAGTACACAGGTGCAGTAGCTGTCTAGTGTCAGGTCAGCAACTCGCACTGTGTAATCAGTTCCTTAAGATTACGTTATCATTCTTCTTATACAGGAAGAACTTTTATTATCATCCTGATCTTTTAGATTCTGAAAATTTTCGGTTCTCTAGAAAGAAATCGATAACATACTCTCCTGTTTATCAAATAAGATGAAAATTAAATAACCAAGATTAATATGCACTCGAATTGGGATTATCTTGAGCGAATACGATAACTAGACACATTCACAATTATAATTATATTTTACTGACGATTATGATATAAACAAAAGTTTTCAATTTCAATTAATATATCAGTTGAATATGATTGTTAATATTGTATTCACTATTATAAATGTCCTTGAAACAGATTATAATATTTTTCCATAAATAAAAATAGTTTAAAAAAAAATATTGTATTACTATTGAAAATGGTCTAATTTGATATATTTGTTTCAGGTGATAGCGTAGCGTTAATCAAAAGAAAACATCAAAATCTTTAGTAGAAAAAAAGGTATGTTTTACTAACTACAAAGTATATTACATTTTAAATATCTTTAGTTCCCTTAAAGTATTGTTAAATTCAAAAAAGATTTTATAACATCCAAATCACTGAAAAATATAAATGAATACGTATGTCTTACGTAGCAAGAAGAAAAAAATATAACATAAATATAGTTAATGGACAAAAAAAAAATTAATAAAAACACGTGATGAATTCATTCTGTAGATTTAAACTTCAAGATTAATAATTTGCAATGTATGCATCATTTATACTAGGATTATTTATATTCATAGGATTATTAGTCGTAAAAATTTATTTGATATTCTTGTGTTAAATGCTGTCACATTCGATTTTAACATAGTCTGGGGTAAGTTAAAATATGTGTTAATTTCTTAAACGCGAGGAAAGGTTATTATGAAGTTTCCAAGGTTTTAAGTGAAATAGAATAAAATAATGCAGCAGAGATCTGGAATACGTTGGACAACAATGATAATAATATCGTCTTATCCTTCAAAGAAAATTAAGGCAATAAACATTTAAATCAACTAAAGAAATCCAAGTAATCTCGAATAGAGATTACAAATTACTATAGCTAATAACAGTTTAGCAGATTAGCACAGAATGTCGTTCATTGAAGATTTATGTTAATTGTTTGGCACGATAACACGTAAATGCTTATCATCTCAAGTTGCATGAAAACTTCTATTATCTCTTACAGATTGAATTTAATTGCATAACCTAACTGTAAAGATGTTTTTGTGGGTATACCTTAATTTGAGTTATGAACAAAATGTGAATAACATTTTTGTTACAAAGATTTCGAAGCCTAGATTTTACACTGGTGAATAGCGAACTTCTATTAATATTTTTAACCCTTAAGAAAAAATAAAATAGCAAACATTTTGTTAGTATATATCATTAGATAAAAAGTTTAGTATTATTGTTATTTATTATTATTTTATTTATTTGTTTTAGGGGAATTCGCCATACAAAAAGTTCAGTAACATGTGTTATGAACAATGTTTTTCGATGAAAATACACCTTTATACAAGCAATGTTTTAAAATATTATATCGCCACATTATTCAATCATTTGTTATATAATTATTATTTAAAAAACATTTCTGAAATAGTAATATTTGATTAAACATTTCTTTTGCACGTGGAATGATCACTGATTGACCTTTATAACTTGCCGATCCGGTCAGTCTAGAAAGGTTATTTATTTTTTTGCATTGGATACTTTTGAATTTCGGTTCTAGAAAAAAATAGAAGTGTTGTGATAGCAATATCGTTTTTTTAATAATATAAAAAACGCTTAAAATAAATAAAATATAAGTTTAATTTTCCTATTCGACTTTTCGTACAGTATTTGATTATGATTGTGTATAAACACTGTTGTATTTAACATTGAATCAAAAATTATTAATTTGACAGGAAAATAGTTTCTCTACAGATTAATATTTAATTCAAGCAAATATTTTCGTTTTTCTAAGTTTTATTATTTATTTAAGTTCTGCCATCTTAAGGGGTGGTTATTGGGTCAATATAGAATCTAGTCATCAATGCCAGTTTAAGATATATTGTAGCAACAATATTGGCGAAAATTTATTTATTTTTCTTTAATTGTATTTCCTTCACTACTGTTATAGATCTGTCAAAATTATTGAACTTATAACGCATTTCATATAGAGTTTTAAATTTACTCTCAAAACTTGTGTATAAAGCTTATAATTTTGTATTTCAGTTTCAATGATAAATTATGTTTTTCAATAGCAACTTTGATAACAATATACAAGATGATACATAAAAAAAAAAATATTCAAAGATGTGACAGTAGACCCCAATTTATTTTTCTTTAATTGTATTTCCTTCAATACTGTTGAAGACTTGTCAATATGATTACACGTGTAACGCATTTCATATAGAATTTCTCAAAACTCGTGTATAAAGTTTATAATTTTGTATTTCAGTATCAATTGAGAATTTCATTTCCCAACAGAAAATTTTATTACAATATGCAAGATGATACATAAGGAAGGAAAATATTCAAAGATGTGACAATAGACCCCAATTTATTTTTCTTTAATAGTATTTCCTTCAATACTCTTGAAGACTTGTCAATATTATTGCACGTGTAACACATTTCGTACCATCGGGGAGTTTTAAATTTACTCTCAAAACTCGTGTATAGAGGTTATAATTTTGTATTTCAGGATCAATTAAAAATTTAATTTTTTTAATAGAAAATTTTATTACAATATAGAAGATAGCACATGAGCATGGAAAATATTCAAAGATGTGACAGTGAACCTCCAACTTAATTAATATGGACTTAAAGCTGATTAGAAAAGGAAGTTTTTCATAAAGTTAGTATCTGTATTATAGTTGAAGGAATAATTCATGATTTTTTTTTTTTAAACAGGACTTATCTTAGTTTAGCCGCTCAAAGACTCCTTTAAATGGTTTTAACATTGACAAGCTCTAGTTTCGTTTGAAGTAAATTTTGTCTTGTTTATTGTGAAGCAATTGTTAATTGTATAAATTAAATATTGTTTAGTTATAGCTTCCGATAAATGATAACCGTTACACTTTTAAAAACACAAAACTTAAATTTCCTCCTTTTTCTGTGAAAAATCGGATCATGGTTTATATGAACTTTTTTGTAGTTCATGAGATCTACTACCACCTTTTTAAATATTTTCTTTTACCTATATAAAAATAACAATTTATTTTGAATTAAAAAACTATTTATTAAATATTAAACTAGTTTGAAAACCAGAGAATAACCAAATTAAAACTAGAAATATTTTGTTGTCGAAAAAAAAACTTTAAAGATAATACAAATAAACAAAAACAAGATAAAAGTCTTAAGAGAGTGCAAGAATTTAACTGACATAATATTATTAATATTTTTGAGGGGGTCTGTAAGATATCGTGTTCAATAATACTGCATTAATAATGTCAAAACCACTTGAAAACACCAGTGCATTGAAAAACGTCTGATAAAAACTAATTATATATAAATAATTATGCAATAGGAAAAAAAAGCAATTTAAAATTTATATAGATTTCGCTTTTTTTAGTTATATGGTTAGTTACACCATTATATAATACCAAAAGGTAATAACAACGAATAATATCAACACATACGACGGACTGCCAACATAATAAGTTTGCACAGCTTATCGAATGCAGATAGGATTCTGAAATTATAATTAAAAAAGACATTGCCGGTTTATAAAACGCATAAAAAGATTGTTTTTTCATTTAAGCTTTTAAATCTTATTTATTTACTCTTTTTTTGATCTTTCTCCGCCACAACAGTCTCAAGTAGATAAGGATATACTTTATTTACAATGCTTTTAATTATCTTTGATAACTTTGGGAATTAATCAAAATATTCATGAATGAGCTGATACAGCTTTAAGAAAAAAAAATGAGTCAGCCGAAATCAACTGACGTGGGTAATAATCATATTTTCGAGTGTTAGTTATGTTCTGTGATTTTTATTTATTTTATTTTTATGGTAAACAATGCAATATCAATCTAATACATACTTTTGAATGGTATTTATCGCTTACATAAGACAGTCGTTTTAGAATGAATAATGAAATTCAGAATTTAATCTAAACTATTCTTGTTATTCGCAAGCTAAATTCATGGAATATTTATGGATTATTACATTTTTCTATTTGTTTAATTTCTTAGATAAATTTAACTAATGTTTCAGATATTTCATAAAATTGCATAAAATAATTCTATTTCATTTTTAAACAATAAAATGTATATTCCACAAGATACGAAAAGAACTTAAGTTCGAAGAAATAAATGTTTAAAATGATCACATTTCACATTTATTTCTTAATTTGGTAATTTATTTTTTCTTTGCAGTATTCTAGGTTTATTTTATTTATTTATTCTATTTTCCTATTTTCATTTTATAATACGCATTCAAATAAATAAAAAACAAAAATCACTTTATTTCTGATATTTTTGATATTGACAATTTCATATATTTATTTTATATATATATATATATATATATATATATATATATATATATATATATTTTAGCAGAAAACAAACTTTTCGAACATAAGAGTTATAATGTAAGTGTATGATTGCCTTAAAGCATAAGATTTTAGAATGGTTAAGTTTCTAAACTTAGCGCTGAGATCATTGATGAACATAAAAAATCCATCAATGGATTACCGTTGATTTTAGAACTTGCCCAAAATGAATGTTTAACATATAAGGTCATAGAAGGTAAATGTGCAGCGACGAAAAACTTATGAATTTTAATCGTAGTATATTTTTTCTCTCACCCTACAACGATTTTATTATATATATGTATATATAAATCCATTTTTATATATTTATATGTATATATTGTGACATGTATAAAAAAATAAAAGTAGTTAATAATTTCTACTTTTATATTTCTGAACTGAAAGTAAACGTTTCCGAACGTTAGAAATTAATTTCCATTGATAATATATGGAAAAATAAACTTTTTTTTTCATTTTGACTATCGAAAAATATATAGTGCACAGAATTCTTATATTTATATTCATTGCCATCAGTTTGTATTTATAATTAATATAATATTCTAATGGTCTATAAACTTTTTTTATAAAAAAAGTAGGAGAGTAAGTGAAAGTTGTAGGAATTATCACACCAGATTTAAAAAAAAAACAAATCAATTTTTTTCTGTTCCTAATGAAAGTTAAATTACATGCGTCGTTTTTATTTTATGTGTTAATAAATATTAAAATCCTTCATCAAAAGGTTAACCGAATGAAATAATATTGTATTAATAAAAAACTGTAACTAAACGATCGATTCTCTTGTTAATTGGCCTCTCTGGTTGGGTTGCGCAATTTTAAAGTAAAAATAAAATTAATTGAACGTTTAGTAACTGCCCTTTCTTTGAGAGTGATTTCGGCAACAATAGCGGTCTCTTTTTTATCAAAGCCATCGACACCAAGCCCGTTTTTTTGAGAGGCG